GGTGAAGCAGCCACTGCTCGCACAGCATGGACAAGGAGGCCGACGGCCCCAAGAAGCCAGAGGTCAGGATAGTCATCAAAGGCCCACCAATTCCTCCTCCGGGTTGACTGCCTCCCATGATAGCCTCACCAGTAGAGGACCATATGTTGAAACGCATGGTCCATGAAGACATTTCACAGTAAGCCACAGCACCTGTCACATGCCTGCCATGGACACATGGCCTCTGCTCTCACAACTAAATCACAAGTAGAGCTATTACCTCCAACTTTAACCCTCAAAAGATCAGGTGTAGGCGGGCCAAGCAACATTTTTAAAGCTATGCACGTAGTAAGAACTGGAGATACAGTTTTCACCTAACTCTAAAGCCATGACTTTCAAGGCTCCAGGTCTCCTGACAGAGAGCAGCCACACCAGGCTTTGCCCATATGGACCAGCATTGGTTGTGAAACCAGGGCAATCCTCAGGGTTCATCTTTTTGGAATTTGTGCCAACTGAGAAGAGAATGGAGACTGCGGTTAGTACGGGGGCCATGTGATTGGAAAAATAAGCTTTTAGGAATGAAGAAGAGGAGGAAGGTAGAGGAGGAAGAAGGAGGAGGAGGAAAGGAAGAAAAAGAAGAAGAGGAGGAAAAGAAGAAGGAGGAGGGGGAGGGGAAGAAGAGGAGAAGGGAGAGGGGAAGGGGAAGGGTGAGGAAGAAACAACCAATGGACGAAGAAGAGGAATAGAAAGTTTCCATGGTGCAGCTGTGACGGTTTAGACACAGTCAAGCTGAACAGACAGACAGGCAGGGACAGCTACAGGAACTCGTCCCCTGGAAGCCCTCTGAAGTAACAGAACAGGAACAAAGGAAGGACTCACAGAGGACCTTGGGTCAGCTTGGACACACACGGAAGGGTCTCAGATGGGAAAGCGATTTCTGGAGGTGACTTTGGAGTGATGTCTTTAAAGCAAATGAAAAAAAAAAAAGAATTAAAAAATGATGAATTACAGTATAAGAAAGCCAGTAGACCATGGCCACATCAGCGTCACTTGTGCCCATACCTGTGGGTTGTCATTGCAGAGTCAGGGTTTCTGGGTTTCCGATTGACTTGGATGATAAGGCCCTGGCAGCCCCACGCAACACTGTGGGAGGCCAGGTAGACTTCCCAAAACTGCTGCACCCAACACTGTGGGAGACCAGGTAGACTTCCCAAAGCTGCTCTACCTAACACTGTGGGAGACTAGTAGACTTCCCAAAGCTGCTCTACCTAACACTGTGGGAGACTAGTAGAATTCCCAAAGCTGCTCTACCTAACACTGTGGGAGACTAGGTAGACTTCCCAAAGCTGCTGCACCCAACACTGGGAGACTAGGCAGACTTCCCAAAGCTGCTGCACCCAACACTGTGGGAGACTAGGTAGACTTCCCAAAGCTGCTGCACCCAACACTGTGGGAGACTAGGTAGACTTCCCAAAGCTGCTCCACCCAACCCTGTGGGAGACTAGGTAGACTTCCCAAAGCTGCTGCCAGCCTTGAGGTGTCTCTTGGATGCGGAACTGTTTTGTGAGAGAAAACAGATGAATAGAAGCAAAGGATATAGAAACACCAGGCAGGTGGCAGGAAAGACATCCGAATGTCAGGACAGAGAGGAAATGTGTAAAGTGCATCTGTATGTACATATGGCTGAAACTGGAGTTGGATTAGAAATTACTCCAAAGCTAATTAGTGCTTAGAGAGAATCCCTTTGTCACAGGCTTGATCTAAGCACTTTATCTCCGTGAACAATGGGGGCCAGGCTGCGCTGCCTTAGGCTAGTGAGTAATGGCCTGAGCCATCTGGGGCTGTTCTCCAGCACCTGAACCCAGGGGGAGCCTCTCTGCATGGGACCAGCACCCCCATGGAAACTCCGCTGCTGCCCCCAGGCCCCTGCCAGTCAGGAGCCTTGATCTCAGCACAAGGAACAAGATGTCCCTGGAAATAACCTGAAGTCGCTCTCTTAGATTCTTTCCTCTCTTTGCCTTTTCCTGTCTTTATAAGAGTTAACCGAACAATAATGGTTATTACACCACTGGTCTTTGAAGGAGGAAGCGGAGGCAGTATTGCAGGGTGGGACTGCTTATGAATGAGCTGAACAAAGAAGAACCAAGCAGCCACAGATGAGAAATACAGACAAGAAAGAGCAGGGAGGAAAATTTTGTTTCGGCTCACCGAGTTGGAGGTTTCCGTCCATGGTGGGATGGCTCTGTTGTTTTCCTGCAAATAGTGAGAGAGAGAGAGCATGGTGGCCTAAGTGTGTGGCAGGGGAAACTGTTCATCTCATGGCCACCAGGAAGTAAATAGAGAAAGGAAGGAGCATTGTCCCACAGTCTCCTTCCAGGGTGTGCCACCAATGACTTAACTTCTCCCCCTGGGCCTCAACTGTCTACCTACCTCAATAGTACCATGGACTGGTGACTAAGCCTCAACACATGGGCCTTTAGGGGACGTGCAATCAAAGCCTAGCAAGCGGCCAGCATTTGCTCCCTCCTTGCCCCATTCTCTGAGCTGGGTACTTTGCACACGTTAACTCTCTTTCTCCCCACTGTGCCGAGAGCCAGGTTCTGCTTTACTTTTACCTTGAAGGTCAGTTATAATACAGCATAACCACCTGCAGCCATCTAACTTGTAAGGCTGAAGTGGAATTCACATCCAGAATTCTGTGGCTGATTTTCCTGACCAATTTAATTTCTAATTGTCTTCTAAACACTTATTCTTATCCCACAGAAAAGTGTAGATCTCGCCCCTTTTCAAAGATGCTTCCTTTGGCCACAAAGACCCACAGAAATCTCTGGCTAATGCAGAGCATCAGCTACCATGGGGTTCCCACTACCAGTTGGTATATCTACACGGCAACCCCTACATTGAAGGTTTAGAGAACATCAGCAAAGAGGGGATGCAAAGACTGTAAGAACCAAGGGACCAGAATACTTTGAGACTGTATCTTTTGTATATGACAGGGATGCTTCACCCATGAGAAGTCAGCAATGCGGTTGCCTAAACAAGACCTGCAGAATGACTGTACCAATCAGCATGCCAGTGGGGATGGGAAACATTTCATAAGGACCCACCCTCCGAGATGAAGAGTTGCAGACGGTTAGTGACATCTGAAAGCTGGAGAATAAGTTTTTCCCTGGGACAAGACCACTAACGGATTATCCAGTCCCAAGTGGTCAGCCCTAAACACAGATATGTAGAAGCAACACTAAATGGATTCAGTCCAGATAGCTATATCCCTCTATCTATCTATCTATCTATCTATCTATCTATCTATCTATCTATCTATCTATCTATCTACCTACCTACCTATCTACTTATGCAATAATAATAATTCTAGAAGAAGAGGTAATGAATCTGAGAGGGAGTAGGGTAGATGAGGGAAGAGGGAAGGGAGGAAATGATAAGTACATTGTACTTATTTATAAAATTCTCAAAAAATTAAAAAATATATTTGAAAAATTCTGTGGCTAGAGAGATGGTTTAGCAGATAAGAGAACAAGCCTGATGGGCAAGCATGGGAACCTGAGTTCACATCCCCAGCACCCACCCAAGAAAAGAAACAAGTATGGCCACATATGCCTGTAACTCCAGAACTATGTAGGAAAGAGATAAGAGGATCATTGGGATTTAATAGCCACTAGCCCAGCTCCAGGCTCTAGGAGAGTTTGTGAGATGAGGATGTCTCCCTCTGGCTGCTGCATGGGAGGCATAGGTACACACACTCACACTCTTGTGTGTGCATGCACCACACATACACACAAAGAATTCTTCCTAGCATCTTTTAAGAAATATCTTAGAAGAAATTAATAAGCGAAAAAGGCTTTATTCTTTGATTTAATTTTAATTATGTACATAATGTAGAATTTCAAATAGTACCTCAAGGCTTCAAATGAAATCCAATTCCTTTCCCTTAAGACACCTCCAATTCCCACACCCCACAAGCAGCTACTCCCAATTATTTAGTTGTTTCAGCTACTGGCTAACCTTGTATTTCAAAATGAAAAGTCTGCATAGCCTTTTCTCAACTCTTCAGTTTCATGGGTTTCCAATTCTGGAATGTAAAAATTTATCTCTTTATGCACAATAGTTTCCTAACCTCAACATATAATGATAAAGCAATATTCAGTCAAACCACTATTTTCTGCTTTTCCCCATAATCCCGAAGATATTATCCACAAAGTCATGTAGACTGGTCACATTCTACTTCCTGTGACAATGCTCCTCCCCTCTTTCTTGGAGTTCATTGTGTCCCATTTGATTTGTCTAGCTTTCCATGAAACATTCACAAATTAAGTCCCTATTCCCTGCTAGACTTATGAATGCCCACTTAATATAGTCAAACATATCCATTATACTCATATTTAATTTTTCATGGAAATATCCTATTTAATATATTTTATAATTCTTTGAGAATTTCATGCATGTATGCATGTAATATATTTCGATCATACACACATGTTCCTTTCCTAGTCCCTCCCAGATCCCACTTCTCCCAACTTCATGTCCTCCATTTTTTTTTATAACCTTTTGGAAATATCGTGATACTCTGCTACTTCCTGCTTCTCTCCAGAAAGATCTTTGTAGATACTCTTCCTAGATGCAATTTGGATAAATCTTTTCACCTGGTGCCAAGATCTCTTCAGTTCCTGGACCTTGTATTCTGTTATTTATCCTAGTAGAGGGACCCAAGTGACTTCCTGAAAAGATGGCAGATAAATATGACTCCTCTGAAAATCTACACAGTCTACCTTCACAAATAAACGAGGATCAAATTCCAGGCTGCAAATAACTTTACCTAAAAAAAAAACCTTGAGACTGTTTTCTACCTTTCTTTTTTTTTCAGAGACATTGTCCTAATGTTGTATTTCTAGTGTTTAACCAACATAATTATTTTTATCACCTTATTTTAATTTCTAATAGTTGTGTTTTAATCTGTAGATACACACATATTTAATATATTCCCACTTTATAGCGAGCTATTTTACCTTTTCTTTTGAAGAACATTGCTTGAATTGTAATTGCTCTGAATTAAACAATTGCTCTGAGCAACATTTTTCTGTTTATTGATTCCTTTCTACATTGTTTTACTGTGTTTGTCGTCACTGAGTTAGACTTTCAGAGAAGGCTGGGCAAGATAAACTCAGTGTGTTCATTTCGTCTTGTTCAATCAAGAGTTCAGTGGTGGCATTTCAAATCAGCGAGGAAACCTAAGTGGCATGGAGGTAGTTATGAAACAAATTTGGATTTCTATGTACAGTTTCTCAAAAATAAATACTTTAATTTGAAAAACTAAAAAATTCAAATATGTGTTAATTCAGTCTCATGATTGGGAAGATGTTTTAAGGATGCTATATAGTATAAAACACATAAAGGGTCGTTAGTAGATTGGAACTTTAAAAGTATAAATTTCTGAAAGACAAAATAAAATAACTTAAAAGTAACCAGACATTTGTTTCTAATATATATGATCAACACAGGATTAGTAAACTCAAAACATAAGAAACTTCAATGAATGACCCAGAAAAAGAACCAAATTTTAAAACAGGCAAAAGACATGAAAGAGTGGCTCACAAAAAGGAAATATAAATGATAAATAAAATGATTACAAATATAATAACCGATTATTTTCTGATTAACATGGCCAGCATAGTTTTGTCCTAAGGGCTGGCTGGTATTTTTTTCCTTAAGAGCCATGTCAATAACTGATACAGCACAGAATAATGAGCATTTTCAGGCAAATGCATTAGCTCAGCTTCCTGCAGAGCAAAATGCCACTCTGTCTCGTAATGGAGACAGCGTAACAATCTATTGAACCTTAAATGTTTAATATACTCAATAACCAAAAAATCAATTTCTAGAAATTTTTATAAGGAAATTATGTGTGTGCTAAGATTTTCATTACAAAATTATTAGTGGAAATATTGTTTACGATAGTAAAACATGAGTAATTGCAAGATGATAAGACAGTCTTCTTTTTTTTCCTTATTTATTTTTTTGTGGTGTTGGTGACTAAACTCAGGGCCTTGTGCATACTAGGCAGGCATCTCTAGCTCTAAGATAGATTTCCAGCCCAGTAGTCTTTATTCCTTTTTATTATTATTATTATTATTATTATTATTATTATTATTATTGTTGTTGTTGTTGTTGTTGTTTTATGTGCATTCGTGTTTTGCCTGCATGTATGTCTGTGTGAGGATGTCAGATCTTGGGAGTTACTGATGGTTGTTAGGTGCCATGTAGATGCTGGGAATTGAACCTGGGTCCTCTGGAAGAACAGTCAATACTCTTAACTACTGAGCCATCTCTCCAGCATAGCCTTTAGTCTTTTAAGAACAATATTGCAACTGAACACTTTTTGGCCATAGGAAAATATTGGTTATGCAGTGCAAATGAAACTAACAGAACTCTTTTTTTTTCTATAAAAGGTAAAACCACTTTGTTGGGGAGTAAAAGTGTTTGTCCATCTGCACAGGGGAAAGGTGCTATTCCTACCTCTGTGACAAAAGGCCTTGCAGAAGCATCTTCTGGAGGAAGCCAGCAAACTCAGACTTGAAAAGGGACTGGGCTAGAGCCCTCAAAGGCCCTGCTCTGGAAGCCGACATCCACCAGTGAGGCCACATGTCTTGAAAATTACCCTCATCTGAAAGAGAGCCATTGGCTCTGGATCAAAGACTTAAACACATGAGCGGCCACTGCTGCTGACAGAGGGCATTTCTAGAATGTCCTAGAAAGAAGTTCATGGAACTCCACAGATGGGCTGTCACTGGGTTAAGGACATTTGTCTTTCTTTAATTTATTATCACTTTTTGGAATTTCTCTAAAGTGTGCATATTTCTTTTTTAATTAGCCCTACCCAGAATATTTTTTTAAATATAATTTTTTAAAAAAATTATATATTTTTAAAGTATATATATATAAATATAATATGAAATACTTAGGAATAAGCTAAAGAAGAAATATAAAGAGCATCTGTGAACGAAGTTTAAAGGAAGAATACATGAAAGATTTAGGTCAGGATTCCATTGAGAAATACGTGACTATATGGGAAGTCACTATTTTTAAAATGATCCTTTATAGTACATTCTTTTGTCTGTTCATATTGAAATAGTTTTTATTTCTTGTTTTTTTCAATAAAGTCCCTTGGAATATTGAGACATGGGAAGAATTCACAAACTCAGAGTGGGAAATGTGTATTTATATTGTCTTTTTAGCGAACCACTTCAAAAGTTTAACAAAAGTTCCAACCTTAGCCTGGCATGGTGCACATGCTTATAATCCTAACTGTTGGTGGTCTGAGGGGGAGGAGATAAGAGTTCAAGGTCATTCTTAACTACATTGCAAGTTTCTGGGCCAGCCTGGTATACATGAGAACCTCTGTTTTAGTTGTTTGCTACTGCTGGGATAAACCACTCTGCTCAAGACAACTTATAGAAAGAAGGGCTTGTTTGAGCTTACATTTCCAAAGGGTAAGAGTCCATCACCATCATGGTGGGTGAGCATGGCAGCAGGCAGGGTTGGTGGCTGAAAGAGCAAGCTGAGAATTCCCATCTAGAACCAGAAGGAGGAATCCAGGAAAGTGAACTGGAAGTGGTATGTGGCCTTTGAAATCACAAAGCTTGGCCCCAAAGACCACACCTCCTTCATAAGCCTTCCCAAGCAGCACCACCAACTGGGGACCAAGTATTTCAGACACCCAAGAATATCAGGGATGTCTTATACAAGCTGCCACTTTCCACTTCTCCATAGTTATTACCACATCATGATGCAAAAAAATGCATTTAGTGCAACTTCCAAAGTCCCCATAGTCTTTCCAGTCTCAACCAAGTCCAAAGTCTCTTCTGAGACTCAAGGCAATCTCTTAACTGTAATCCCCTGTAAAATCAAAATGCAAATTACATATTTACAACATACAATGGCACAGAATATACATTATTGGAATAATAATGGAATACGTTATTATTCCAAAAGGGATACATGGAGCATACTAAGGAAATACTACACAAATGTAAGTCCAAAACCCAATAGGGCATATTCCTTATCTTGTATTTCCATGACTGGTGTCAAACAGTTTAGGTGGCTCCACGCTTCTAGTTTTGACGCCTGCCTCTTTCTTGGGCTGTTTCCACTTTCTATGTTCAGCTCTCCCTAGAAGATATCATATGGCCCTGGTGTTACCAATATCTTGGGAACCCCAACAAAACCCAGGCTTCATTTCCACAGATTCATGCAATGGTCTCTCAGGGCCTCTTGTCCTCTTGGGGCTTTTCTCTCAGGAATGCCTCCACACATAGCATGATCTCAGTGGCTCTCTGAAACCATGAAAGAAGATTCCATGACCCCTTTCCTCTCCCATCCTTCATGACTCTAAAGCCAGCATTATAGGATGATACTGCCAAGTTTGGCTGCCGCCTTGGGATGGATCCAGGCTCTCTTGAATCACATTAGTGGTAGATTTTGCTTGTTGTTGTTTTTTAGGAACAGAAAAGTCCTTGGGCTTTTTCCTTTCACAGTTTGGAAGCTTAGTGTGGTGGGATCTAACCCTGAGGGCCCCCTTCCCTTTATTCCAGTTCAGAGCAGGCCTCTTTTAGCCTCCTCATCTCTTTCAGCACAAGCTTTGGCTGCAACAGTAAGTTTCCTGGAGCTCCTTTTCTCTTCAAACTATCCATTTTGTATTTGTTTTTGCCCCATTTGTTCTACTTCTTTATAGGCATACATAACAGCCTATAACAACCACACCACAAATTCAATATTATATTGCCTTAAAATCTCCTTCAACAAAGCTTAGTTCATTACTTTTCAGTGTAGCTGCAGGCAAGTTCTCCGGGCAAGGACAGAAGGCAACCAGATTCTTTGCGAATGACCTCAAGTCTAGTGGCTGTTAAAGTCTTTGCTTCCCTCTGAAACCTCTTGAGCTGATTTTTTTAAAAAGATTTGTTTATTTATTATGTATACAGTGTTCTGCCTACATGTATGCTTGTAGACCACAAGAGGGCACCAGATCTCATTATAGGTGGTTGTGAGCCACCATGTGGTTGCTGGGAATTGAACTCAGGACCTCTGGAAGAGTAGCCAGTGCTCTTAACCCCTGAGCCATCTCTCCAGCCCCCTTGAGCTGATTTTTATTCCAAAGTTCCAAAGCCTTCAACATTCCTCAAAAAAAAAAAAAACAAAAAAACAAAAAAATAAAAACAAACAAACAAAAAAACAGTTTCTTCACAGCCATAGCCTACTTCTTGGTACCAACTTCTGTATTAGTACTTTTCTGTTGCTGTGATAAAGACTAGCTTATAAAAGGAATGGCTTATTTAGGCTTACAGATGGGAGGGTAGTTATTATTATAATGGTGGGGAAGTGTGACAGCAGGCAGGCATAAGTGTGACCCCATAACCCTCCCAAACAGCACCAACCAGTGGGGACAAAGTTTTCAAATGCCTGACACTATGGGTGGCATCTTATTCTAACCACCCCTCCCCGGGTCAAAACAAATAAATAAACAATAACTAGTGCTCTAATCTTTGAATCGGTTCATCCCATACTAAAAAGAAAAATAGCTGAAGATTTGTGTATTTCATTTTTAACCAATAATTTTATGATAAATAAAACAAATAATCCATTCTAGCTGCATTAAATCTATAGAATACTTAAATTGTGTCACATCCACACATGGTAATATAATCAAAAACTTGAAGATCTTTTAAAATTTTTATTACGTTAAAAGAGCCAGTTATTTTAAGGATTTGGCCCCTGGTAGGTCATCTATATCATACACGAGAACATACAGGCAAGCACAAATTATACTAAATGTTTTTGTTTTGTTTTGTTTTGTTTTGTTTTGTTTTGTTTTGTTTTGTTTTGTTTTGTTTTTAATGAGGACACAAAGTGGAATGGGTATAAAAGTGGGGCAGGGGATCAGAGGACAACTTTCAGGACTAAAGTCTCTGTTTCAACCATGTGGATCCTGGGGGTCAAATTTTTTTTTTCATGCTTGGCAGTGAGGGATTTTTCCCATGGAGCCCTCTCACTGTCCTCTTTAAGAGTCACGATTGAATTAAGAAAATAGAAACCAGGCAAGGTATCCTTATATTTTGGTTGTGAGCCCAGCCATTAACAGCTGAGCCATCTCTCCAGCACAAAGAATTTTGTTTGTTTGTTTGTTTTTTGTTTTTTTGTTTTCAAAACAGGGTTTCTTTGGGGGCCTTGGATGTCCTGGAACTCACTCTGTAGATCAGGCTGGCCTTGAACTCATAGAGATCCGATTGCATCTGCCTTTCGAGTTCTGGGATTAAAAGTGTGCGCCACAAGCCTGGCAAGACAAGGTATTCTTAAGAGACATTAAGTGATTCTTACAGAATCAGTTACATAGATTTAGGGGAAATGAAAAACTGAAAGGTAATCCTGAGATTATCAAGACCTCAGTCTCTCCCCACCAGCAAGTGGCCAGCTGCCCCAAAGAGAAAAATCAGGTCAATTTCCTGAAAGGATTCCTTAAAGGTCAATCAGGGCTGGTCAGCAACATTAACACTGGGGAAATTCACTGGTACTCCCTTCAAGACAAAGATTCTTGTTATAAGGGGCATCTGAACAAACCCTACAATTTAGGAACTCAAACTGACTTTATCTGCAATTCAAAAACAGAAAGAAAGATGTTTTTCCGATGTCCTAGAACTCAGCTCGTGGGGGTGTGGGGTGGGGCACTTCATCTGGGACTAGAGGGATCCTCTATGCTTATCTAGTTGGAACATGTGTCCTGTGACTGTGGGTCCCATGCACTGGTGTGGACAAGAGGCTCCAAACTCTCCAGTATTATGCTTGTCTGGCTGATGCCTTCCCACTCTGACTCCATGACTAGCTGCCAGAAGCCAGTCAAATACCACTGTGCTTGGTGGGGCTGTGAAACCATGTCATCCTGCAGGGCACACTGGTCCCTTCATAGTGATAGAAAAGGAACCATCATCAGCTACCTGTGCTCACAGGCAAGGCAATCGCATAGCCACAAAGGTTAGGGCCCGGCGGGAAGTCAGTAGATCCTGGGGAGTCAGGTTATACCTGAATGATCCAGACCCAGGCAGCAAGTTTACTATCCAAAAGAAATTTGCACCTGGAGCCCACCCACTCAAACCAACTCATTTTGGTGTCCCCAGAATAGAAGCACCCTAAGGTAGCAAGCTCCCAAACTCCAATTTCCCTTTCTCCAGGAATTCCAATCCCCCCAAACACCAGTAATTGGTGACCTCAAAGATAAAGGTCCAGGAGGCAGCAGAAGCCAGCCCCTCAGTGTTTGGGATGTGAGAAAGAGTATATCAGTCCCTTAGCCATTCTCAGTTGGACGTAGGTCAGGACTGCTGGCTGTGCTTGGACCCCGAGCCCCTATATTATGTTGCATTGGAACTAATCAAACAATAAGCTCCACTTCCAACCCTGGTTCCACTCCTGGCCCTTCCGGTTAACTACTCTACTTATGGCCATGACAACTGGTCCAGTCCTGGTCCTTCGGGTTAGCTACTCTACTTATGCCATGACAACTGGTCCAGTCCTGGTCCTTCTAGTTAACTACTCTACTTATGCTCCTCTCACCGTGGGACCCTGCTTGTTCACCTGCCTATTCAGCTATATAAAACAGAGACTAAAATCTGCTAAACTCCTGGTACTAAGGACAGGATCTAAGCCCCTGCTCCAGATGAGTCCATGATTTGATTCATGTCCACAGAACCAGTGAGGAATGTAACAGGCCCCCAGACCCTAGGAGACCCCAAGACCTTACTAGAACTGACACCATATTAGAGGCACCGTTTGGACTTTAGAATTCAAAATGGGAACAAAGACTGAATCCATCAGAGAGCTCCAGGATCTGGGAAAGCGTCTAAGTGTACTAACCTTGCTTTGTGGCTTCTGTAGCTCTGCTTCTCACTAACTGTTCTTGGTAACTGATGTGTGTCACCCAGGGTGTGGTTTTTGTTTTGGGGTTTTTTGTTTGTTAGTTTCTTTTTTTTTTTTTTTTATGTCCGACACATTTAATTATTTATTTTACATACCAACCACAGTTTTCCCTCCTCCTCTCCTTCCGTTCCTTCTACCCACCGCCTTTCTACATCCCCCTCCCAAATCCATTCCTCGGAAAGGGTAAGGCCTCCCATGGGAGTCAACAAAGAATGGCACATCAAGTAGAGACAGGACAAGCTCCTCCCCCCTGCATCAAGGCTGAACAAGGCATCCCACTATAGGGAGTAGGTTCCCAAAAGTCAGCTCATGCACCAAGGACAGATCCTGGTCCCACTGCTAGAGGGCCTACAAACGGACCAGGCTACACAACTGTCACCCACATGCTGAGGGCCTAGGTTGGTCCCATCCAGGCTCCCTAGCTCTCGGTCTAGAGTCTGTGAGCTCCCATGAGCTTGGGTCAGCTGTCTCTGTGCGTTGCTCTGTCATGATCTTGACCTTGCTTGCTTATATAATCCTGGAGCTCAGCCCAGTGCTTGGCTGTGGATCTTCACAGTTGCTCCCATCAGTTGCTGGATGAAGGTTCTATGATGACAATTGGGGTGGTCACT